TTTTTAATCATTCGCCAAGAAAAATAAGCATAAGTTATTGCGTAAAGGATGCTAATGATGAGAAAAAAGATTGCTCATGGTTTTGTTCGCTCTGCCTTAGGAATAAAGTTAAAATAACTACCCAGCACAATAAAAGGCATGGCCAGACCCGCCGCTAAGATAAAAAAAATTTCTAAAAAGTTGCTTGGTTTCATTAAAAGTCAGACGCCTCGCCTAAATCTACTCTCCTTTCAAGTAGAAGCAATGTCGTTTTTAATGGTTTTAATGGTTTGGATTTTGTGTTTAGTCATGGCTTATGCTTCATATGCTTTTATTTATGTTTTTATAATGTTCTGCTAAACATTATTCCTTTACCTCATGCTTTTCTTTGGCTTTGCCGGCAATGTAGCTTCGCAAACATTTAACCTTGCCACAGAGATATTTACCTACTTCTGGCTCTAAGAAGTCAAGTAATTCTTGACAAGCGATACATTGCTTTTTAGTTTCGTCATTTAAGGCTTCTTTTGGTTTAATTATCTCCACTTGTTTAGTGACTCATTCGCAATTAGAGCAGGGTTGCCAATCAATTAAGTCAGCTCCATACTTTTTTAAGCACTTAGCACAAGGAGTTTGTTCGGAATGAATTTTGTGTTTGGCCATGTTATGCTAAAAGCTCCCTGTCGCCGGCTTTTCAGATTTCTTTTTTGTCTCAGGGGTAAGGTTGGATTTGCTTTTTTAAAGTTTCCTTGGCTAAATAAGTGGTTAGGTCGTAGTCTCTTTGCAGGTTTAATCAGTAGCGAGCGCTTATTCCGAAATGGCAATATAGTCGGTGAGCTAAATCCACAGTTAGGTTTGCTTTTTCGGCTAGTAATTCTTGGATAATTTGTTCTTCTACTTGGAGCTGTTGCGCTAACTCTGGGACTGAAATGCTTAAAGGTTCTAAGTATTCTGTTCTTAATGTTTCTCCGGGGTGAATAGGCTTTCGCTCAGGCTTTTTCATATTCATAATTGTTTGTTTTTATTTATATTTTTTAAGCGAGCGACGAGCTATTTAGGTGGTTTTTAGACAGAAAAAGCGGCTAAATAGACCTGTTGGGGGGGTTGTTTTTTTTTTTTTTGGATTTTTTTTGCTACTTTTTTTTATCATAGCAATCCAAAGCTCTCTCCAAAACTTCCACATACTTTAACTTTTC